GTGGTGCTGCGGGTGTTCGTCTGACAAGTAGATGACCAAGATGGCGGCCGTGGTAGTGATGCAGACCATGGGACATCATTACTTATTTAGATACTGTTCATAACATCTCCCCATCCCCCTCTCCTCCTCTCCCAAAAGGCTGTATCCATAATCATAGCAAACATAGAGTCCACCCTGCAATCTTGACGGCTTATGGTTACTGTCAAAGCAGAACTTTTCGGTTGTGTAATTCAGTTTCAGGGAAAGAAAAACTACAAATCTCAAAGCTATTCGTCACCATCATCAGCAATAAGGACTTCGAAATTCCTGAACCAGTTTTCGGGCATTCTCTTCAAATGAAATACAAGCAACCAGAACCAATGATACATAGGGATAGGTGGCATCACAAGGGTGATAACCATTACAACTAGGTGATACATGTAGCGAAGAATTTATGCACAAGGGGTGATAAGAAAAAGGGGAAAGAGAGAAAGACTCGGAAGGTGAGAAGTGAGACAAGAGGAACTTTGATTGTGCTCACTTTTTCTTTGCAATTTTCCACTCATTAATACTTGCTTTGTTTTCCTAGCTTACTATTGCCGTGGCTAGCTCGACGCTCTTGTCTCAGGGGATTCTGTCCCTGCATTAGCTATGCTTGTCACATGCTATGAGATTGTGTCTAATAATAATAATAACTAGTGGGATCAGTGGTGTCAGTAAACAACTTGACAGATATGTAGCGTTCATTTGGTATTTGTCTTTACACAGTGTGTGTGTGTGTGTTTTTTAGTTCCTCTTGTCTCACTTCTCACCTTCCGAGTTTTTCTCTCTTTCCCGTTTTTCTCATCACCCCTTGTGCATCAGTTCTTCGCTAAATTCATCACCTAGTTGTAATGATTGCCACCCTTGTGATGTTACTTATCCCTATGTTTCATTGGTTCTGGTTGCTTGTATTTCATTTGGAGAGAATGCCAGAAAACTGGTTCAGGAATTTCAAAGTCCTTATTGATGATGATGATGGTGAAGAGAAGCTTGAGATTTGCAGTTTTCTTTCCCTCATAAGCTTCCGGTCTCCAAGAATTTTATTTTGGTGTGATTTTTTCCGTATTTTCCAAAATCGGCGGTTTGATGGAGGGACATTTCGGTAAAACCGTTTCCAGGTAAGTGTACTAGTGCTAGTATCGAAATTTTCGGTTGCGTTATATTTTAGGTAAATTCTGGACCGCCATTCACCGACGGTGGGCTACACGATGCTGGAGGAACTAGATTCCAGTGAAAACCCAAGATTCCTTTGCTCCTGGACGCTCCGACGTGTTGTGATATCTGCCAGGTGCGCAGTAACTAGTATTTTCATCGCTATAGCGAGGACGACGCCGATCGGCAAACTCTCGCTCACAGCCATCACCAGCCTCTCAAAACCATCACTTGGCATCCCCCAGAGGTATAGGAGAAAGCCAAAACAGCTCTCAACAAACAAAAGCTAAGGACGATGGAAAGAGAGCATGTCAAAAAGAAGACGAACAGTATGAAGTTCAAATGGTTTTGAACACTCGTACCACCAACTATACCACTTTCAATAAATCGTGACGCCATTTTGTTTTAACATGAATATCGCGGATTGACGGCACCGAAGTTACGGAAAGTAAAACACCACCAAAAATCTCTGCAAAAAGGCGATGTAGAGACAATACGGAGCATCAGCAAATCGAATATTCGAATGAAATTCGAGAATCGTCACGAAAAGCACTCAATCAGTCGAAACTAGGGCTTTGTTCGACTGAAAAATGCCCGCAAACAGAAAAATTAATACTTTTCGAATGCTCCGCGCGTGCTCTAGTACACGGCGCACTACGAGTACTCATTCTTGCGCATGTAGCTACTAGTTCTTACTAAAGTACTAGTCCGGACTTCTTGTCAATCTTGACGCTTTCCTCTCTCTCGAACTGTGAAAAGTTTTATCAAGTGTGCATTTTGTTTCATTTCAAGTATCCCTGGAATCATGGCTTTGTCACCAACTACCAGCCCCGGTATGCCTCCTGCTCCCAGTACTGCAGTAGCCCTGCTGGCGTTGTCTCGGCATCTGCGTCTATGGTGAGTTCCCCGCAGGGAGAGGGCAACTCAAAGTGTGCCAAATATTTGAGGGTCGACCTTACCATGGATCTCATTCTGCTGAGGCAGTGTAGGGCCCACCCTCACCTATTCGTCCGCGGGTCTCCTGATATGCAAGGGATAGCGGAGGAGCTCGGCCGAGATCCGCCTTTTCAAGGGGTCTCCAAGAGAGATCCTATCGTCAATAGCCTGAATCGGATGAAGCATCCGCCGCTTCGCGTCATCCCCAAAGGCAATGAGAAACAACAGCAACTCCGTTCATTGCACATCTCAAAATCCCAGTCCTCAACTGCTCAAGCTAAAAAAACTCGATTCGAAAATACTGGACTGCGCTACATGCTGAACCTCTTTTTCATTCGAATTTTCTCTCTGATTTTCTTTTTGCCATTCGAATAATCAAATCGAAAATTCGATTTGCTGATGCTCCGTATTAATCTTTAATAATGCAATGAATAAAGTAGGGCTCAAACGGTCACGGTTTTACCCCTGACGGTTAACTGCTAAGCTAACGGTCGGTTAACCGGTTATAACCTATAAGCCACGGCAATCCTGCGGACTCTTTTTTAACCGTATATTTGACTATACTCATTCAAAAAATGTACCCTATTCAGTACAACGCACACTTGTACATTCTCTTGCATGCTCATTCATACATACTCTCACACCAAGAGACCAGATATGACCGAGTTGACAGCCTAGAAATTGCGTACGCGTGCGAAAGCCCACGAAAGTGCACACTTTGCAACGACCTGATACTTGAAAAATTAACTGAAAAGTTACTGCGTAACCGTTATCTTTATCGGTTAACCGTTAATTCTTCGTAACCGATCTGCAACCGGTTAATCGGACTAATCGTTTGAGCCCTAGAATAAAGCTATGTGCACTCATATTACAACCATAGCAAGGAATAAAGTATTACAGAACGTATCCATGACAATCCGCGATATGCGTGTTAAAACAAAAATGGCGTCACGATTTATTGAAAGTGGTATGTTCGTCTTCTTTTTGACATGCTCTCTTTCCATCGTCCTTAGCTTTTGTTTGTTGTGAGCTGTTTTGGCTTTCTCCTATACCTCTGGGAGATGCCAAATGATGGTTTTGAGAGGCTGGTGATGGCTGTGAGCGAGAGTTTGCCGATCGGCGTCGTCCTCGCTATAGCGATGAAAATATTAGTTACTGCGCACTTGGCAGATATCACAAGACGTCGGAGCGTACAGGAGCAAAGGAATCTTGGGTTTTCACTGGAATCTAGTTACTCCAGCATCGTGTAGCCCACCGTCGGTGAATGGCCGTCCAGAAAGGTTGAACCTGGTCTTTTGCAGCATCTCGCAGTCCTGCGTGGCACACCTGCACCGTGTACGCCTGTAATGTATTGTACAAATAAAAATCACGAAGTAGTGGACTCTACAGTGATGAGTCTATCCTGTATGCTGCAAAAGACGCAGGAAATGTGACTGGTGTCTGTACACTGGACGCCGTCAATACCCCAGTCATCTCCTGCAGGATCTGTTTGACATTTACATACCGTGATGCAGTGCCGGGGTCGACATTGACCTGGTTTGGCAGCTATCATAATAGTATTGGCCTTGGTGGATGTAGCAGGTTTGCATTTGCTCATCGTCCAGTCCGGAATTTTCTTGTAACTCGCGGTGGAGTACGCGCAGGGTTTGTGATCATCCCTGTTCACTTCAATATTATACACACACAACGTTCCCTTTGTCACTCATCTTATCCCGAGTACTGAATTTGCTTTCGATATTGCGCCACACTTGTCACAACCTACCGCCGCTGCTGTGGTGACTGGTCCGTCAATGGCGGTGACCAGGCTGACTGAATAGCTTCAAGACAGCGGCCTCGCTCGCAACCCAGCCTAAAGGCAAATTGTATCTATCCAGCCTCAGCGCCATGTTGACGATGCCCTAGTGACTGTGTGTCATGGAGCTGTATTGCCATCAGCGGTCATCGCCGTTCACCTTGGTGCAGCCCTCAACAACTGGCTCAGCCCATGGGAGTCTCAAGTGGACAAAGTTGTTGCCAAAGCAGCTCAGAAGATTGGCGCATCATGGTGTAGGTGAGCACATAGCTAAGACTTCACGGCACCTTGTCCAGGCTGCGATACTACCTGACATGCTGTACTGCACATTCTTTTCAGCGCTGCAAGGCCGGCAGCTGGACCGACTGCAGGGGTCGCGCACATGCAGGCCGTCTGTTGCCAGGCAGCATTCTGGAACGTTCTTTCCTGCTGACATCCGTGGAATAATAACGTTGATTGCTTCAAGCAAGTTGCTTACCTTTCTGTTGTGCTCCCAGTGTCCACACAACAATAACCTACAGCAATGTATTATTTTCCTTTCCATTCGCCAACCAATGAACACTACAATGTAGATTCACTTTCTGCATACAAGGGAGGTACGTTGAAATTCAAAGGTGAGCACAAATGGTCAAAATCCGACATTTTCTCACCTTTATGCCCGTTCGCAGCTCAGAAAATTACAATGACCATCCTCATCTCGTTGTGTAGCTGGACATAGACAATGGCACCCAGAAAAAGACACACATTTCTCTAAAGCACTCGCCCAGGGCTTCTGAAAGCTGAATAATAACCTATCTCCAAGTTTTGGGCTTTTTACCCGTGAATCTTCACTTTGCGACTAAACTATTCACAGCAGTGCCAAATTTTCTGGGTCACTGAATGTGGGTTCCAGCGCCCTACAAGCAAACCAAAAATAAAACCAATGCGACCACTGACATTACAGCTGGCTCATGCTATAGAGAGGTACGTTGAAATTCAAAGGTGGGCACAAAAGGTCAAAATCCGACTTTTTCTCACCTTTATGCCCGTTCGCAGCTCAGAAAATGACAATGACCATCCTCATCTCGTTGTGTAGCTGGACATAGACAAGGGCACCCAG